TTTTTCTACTTGTCCAGGTATGAAATCTCTACTTTGAATTTGGAAAGATGGTTCAGTCAATAAAGTATGAAACATGAAAACCTCAATTCAATTCCCCAAACCTATATTACATTTTAAATTAATTAATTTATTTTTAAAGCCAGGCATGGTGTGACATCCTTGTAATTTTATAGATTCCTGAGGGTGGCTGGTTAGCCAGCCTACCAGAATCTATGATCTAGCAAAAGACCATTTTAACGAAAGCAAAGCAAAACAAAAATTCAAAAACAAACAAACAAGCAAAAACAAAACAAAACAAAACGCCAAGGTACATAGGGACTGAGGCAGACACTTGAGGCTGACCTCTGGCCTCAGTACATATGTGCATTATTAGAGCGTATACACAATATAGAAGAAATCTGTACTTTAGGTTGTATTCTGTGGAGTCTGCCATGTAGATGCCCTTTAAGGCATTTCACCAATGTCTGCTCACTTTCATTCCTTCAATACACCTAGGATTAGCGAACTAACCATTTCCAATTTAAGTTCATTTAGAAACACAAATTTCTTAATGCCTCCAACTTCTAATTAATTTAAAATACAAGGAAGGGGCTAGAGAAATAGCCTAATGGTTAAGAGCACTTGCTACTTTTGCAGAGAGCCCGGATTCAGCTTTGAGAACCAACATGGCAGCTTAAATCTGTCTATAACTCCAATTCCAGAGTATCTGATGCTTTCTTCTAGCTTTCATAAGCACTGCACACATATGCCACACACAAGCAAAACATTCATACACATAAAATGAAAACAGAGCTTTAAACAATGCATAGTACTCTAGCAGAGGATACAAACTTAGTTTCCAGATACATTAGACAGTTCACAAGCACCTATAATTCCAGCTCCATGGGATTCAATGTCTCTGGTCTCCTCAGGCACCTGCTCACAAATGTGTGCGCACACACACACACACAAACACACACACACAAATGCATAATTAAAAATAGTAAAAATAAATATTTAAAAAACAAAAAATTTTCTGTAATATATATTAAATGTCTCCAATTATTTCTCTTATTCTTTGGGCAGAATCTTTTGTTTTGGGGTTCAGACTTCTAAAAAGACTGCTAGAGGCTGGAGAGAGTTAAGAACACTGGCTGCTTTCCCAGAGAATCTGGTTTCAATACCCAGCACCCACAGAGTGGCTCACAACCATTTGTAACTCCAGTCCAAAGAAAGCCAATGCTCTCTTATGCTCTGCATTCATATGGTACACAGACATACATGCAAGTAAAATATCCATACACATAATATAAACAAATAAAATCATAAAAAATGTTATTTAAAGACTCAAGGCTGGAGAGACGGTTCAGTGGTTAAGAGCACTTGTTGTTCTTGCAGAGAACCTAGGTTCAATTCCCAGCACCCACATGGTTGCAACAACCCTCCAGAAACTCTTAATTCCAGGAGATCTAAAGGCCTCTTCTGATTCCCTCAGACACTAGGCAAACACATGGCACGCTATACAGACAAGACATTCACCTAAAATAAATAAGTAAAGTTTTCTAGAATGCTTCGTTGGCTTACCTATTTTTAGTTTGTACTTTTTGCCAAGGAAGACAAATAAAATTGAATTTCTTTTCTTTCTTTCCTTATTTATTTATTTATTTATTCATTCATTCATTCATTCATTCATTCATTCATTCATTCATTTACTTACTTACTTACTTACTTATATTTGAGGTAGAATTTTACTATGCAGCCCTATCTGGGCTGGAACTCACTACGTAGACAAGGCTGGCCTCAAACTCAGAAATCCACCCGCCTCTTCCTTCTGAGTGCTAGGACTAAAAGTATTTGCCACCAAGACTAGCTAAAGTTGAATTTCATAAACACTAGATAGTCAGTAATGCTGACTCACATTTGTAATTCCAATACTCAGGAGACAGAGGCAGGAAGACTTCAATTGCAGCTAGCTTAAGGCTAGGCTGGGCTACATAAATGAATCTGAGGGAAGACTAACTACAGGGTAAAGCCCTGTCTCAACAAATAGGCAACCAAGAAAACAAAATAAACCAGAGACTGGCTGTGCAAGCAAATTAACTGTTTCCAGGATAGAAAAAAAAAAAAAAAATTTAAGGATATACAGAAAATTCAGACTTTTTCTCCCAGTAGTTAATCAAAAAATAAGGGGAGAGGAAAAAGTCTAGTAAGAAACAGATAAATGTGGGGCTGGAGAAAAGATACAGTGGTTAAGAGCACATACTATTTTTGCAGAGGACCTGCGTTCTATTCCCAGCACCCAGGCCAGGCTGCTTACAACAGCCAATAACTGCAGCTCCAGAGAAATCTAATCCCTCTGGCTTCTGAAGGCATCTGTACTCATGTGTACATACCCCACAGACACATTGTGGGAGGGATGATCACTGAGTTCAAGGCCAACTAGGTCTATGTAACCTCCAGGACAGGCCGGGCCACACAGAAAAACCCTATCTCAATAAACAAAGTAATTAATTAGTTAATTAACTCGTTAGTTAATTAATTGAAAATTTAAAAAGCACACAACAGGATTTAAAAGAGCATACTGCTCTTGAAGATTCAGGTTCAATTCCCAGCACACACATCTGGTGGCTCATACCACCTACAAATCCAATTACAGGGGACAGAATGCCCTCTGCCTCTGCCAGCAGCAGGATACACATGGTGCACGTACATTCACATAAGTGTACATAAATAAAAATAACACATAAATCTTTAAAAAAATTAGTTCAACCCCACACCACAGTAAAATACACCACTGTTAAGGTGGAAGCAGGAGAACCAGGGATTCAAGGCAAGCTTGGGCTACATGATACCCTGCATGAAAACATCTGTATCTATCTATATTTAAGAGCTGGAGAGATTGCTCAATAGTTAAGACTGTAGAGAGGCACTGAATTTAGTTTCTATCACCCACACCTGGTGGCTCACAACTGTCTGTAACTCCAGGGTGACCTGGTGCCTCTGGCCTCCAAAGGCACCATGTGCCCACATACACACAAACTAATTATAAATAAATCTTATTTATTAAAAAAAAAAACAGGAAGGAAATAAAAAGCATAACACAGCCAGGTATGTTGGTTAGGACAAAGCATTTGGGAAGTGGAAGCAGAGGATCAGGAGTTCAAGGTCATCCTCAGGTGGGTTGGAGGCCACCATGAACTTTTAAAAAAAAATATCTGCACTTTATGTGTAGGACTATTTTGTCTGCATGTATGTCTGTGAAACACATGTGTGCCTGGTGCCTACAAAAGCCAGAACAAGGCATCAGATCCCTTGGAAGTTTCAAACTGCCATGTCCTTGCTGGGATTAGAACTTCCAAGTCCTCTGGAAGAGTAGCCAGTGCTTAACCACTGAGATATCTCTCCACCTCCAACAAGAACTACCTTAAAAGCTGGGCAGGGTGGTGCATGCCTGTAATCCCAGCACTATGGAAGGCAGAGACAGGTGGATGGATCTCTCTGAGTTAGAGGCCAGCCTGCTCAACAAAGAAGTCCAGAACAACCAAGGCTACACAAAGAAACCGTCTCAAACAAACAAACAAACAAAAAACTACCTTAAGATCCTATCTCACAAAACAAAAACAAAAAAGTTACCAAGCAGAAAGAAGAGACAAATGACTGAGTCACGTGGCTGAACATGAGTATCAACCACATGTATTACACACAATCAGTATGGAAGTATAAGCTAAGTACTTTCACACAACCAATACATGAGGTCTTAAACATTTTGCATACTTGTTGACTGATTTAAATATCAATTTCATGTATCAAATGGGATGGGAAAACAGACACAGATAATCATCCATAAGAGAAATGTAATTAACAAAAAGGTAATTTTTTTTTCCTTGGGAAAAACAACAACAACAACAACAACAACAAAAGTCTTAAGCTCATGGCATAAAAACAGCTTGAAAAGAATTCAAATAATGACAGGCAGTGGCGGATCACTACTTGGGAGGCAGAGGCAGGAGGATCTCTGTGAATTCCAGGACATACTGGTTTACAGAGGGAGCTCCAGGACAGCCAGGGCTACAAAGAGAAACCTTGTCTCAAAAAAAAAAAAAAAAAAAAAAAAAAAAAAAAAAAAAAAAAAAAAAAAGGAATTTAAATGCTGAGAGTTTATCCACTTACTACATAGTAAATCAAAGTTAACGGAATAAAACAGACACTAACAACCACCGGATAAACAACACCAATGGGGACCTATGCACTAGCTTTAGCAGAAGTAAAACACGTTTGAAAAGAGTAGTATACCAACTGCTTACTAACTTTACATTCATTCTCTTAACTGAACTGAGTAAGACCTCCTTTGGAAAAAAGTAAGAAAACGACACCTTGAGTTATGAGGGAGTAACTCAGAAGTCATACACTCAGAAGGTGTCTGAACTACTTGTTAAGCAATCGCTTATTCACTTAAACAGCTCAACAACGTGCTAAGAAATGGGATCCACACCCGAATTGTCACGAGAAAACTACCATTCCTAGGCGCAATTTCGGGGAGTGAAGTGGAGGACACTGACATTCCCCCCATTACTGCCTCACCGATCCCGCCCACCGGCTTCCCACCTCTCAGGACTTAGACACTGCGGCCGCGTCCCTGGGGCAGACAGCAGCTGTCACCTCTGCTGAGAGGACCCCATCCCGAGGGCACTGCCCGCTCGCCCGGGCTCGTCCCGGGGAGACCGAGCGAGTTAGAGAGAGTCTTTAAGCAGAGCTGCATGGGCTCGGAGTCCTGTGGGGGACAAAAGGTCGCGACATCCCCGGGGTCTCCCCTCAGGGAGCCGGGGCCGCATTCGGGGAATTCGGGCTCCCCTGGTTCTGGGCATCGCGCCGCGCCGGACCGAGCCACGCCGCGGAGCGCCCTCCGCCGCGCCGGCACCGGGCGCCGGCAGGGGTCCGGCAGAGGGAGAAGGGCGGTCCGGAGGGCGCCCACAGCCGGAGGGGGCTTGCCTCGCAAGCTGGCGGCCTCCGGCCCGGCTCACCTTCAGGTCGTTTTCGGGAAGGTACTTGCACTGCCGCGCTATCTCCACATACTTGTCCAAATCCAGCGGCGCCATTTTAGGAAGAACAAGCCGCGGCGACGGCAGCGGCGGCGGCTATTGTAGCGGAGGCAGCGGCGGAGGCCGAAGCCGGAACCCTCCTTACGTCACGTCCGACCCGTGAGTGGCGTCTGCGCAGTGACGTCAAAACCTGACCCGCTTCTTTTCCGGGACCCGACAGGCCCTGCGCACTCTCAGGCGGAAGTTTTGGGCCGCGGATCTCCAGGATAACCCGGCGGTCCTGCCGATGAAACCTGCTGGGATCCGTAGCTGTCTGCCGCGAGGAGTGCTGGGACTTGTAGTTTTATTGAAACGCTCTTCCTCTTTTATTCTTGCAACAGACTTTACCTCCGAAAAACCAGGTTTTCTAGGGAAAACCACAAAGTGGAAGCACCCCGTCAGCATCTTCAGTTAATGTTAGGGTTACAGCTACCATCTTCCCAGCGCTAGTGAAGACCTGGCCTAGACATTTGAAACAGGCTTGGAAGAAAAAAAAAAACACATATTAATAATTTCCTATGCCAAATTCTGTGCAAATACTGGCGCTTTTTCTCCTTTACAGTTCTTTTAAGATTGATAGGAATGCAAAGCTTGAACATGTTACTTGGCCCAAATCTCAAAGGAATCAGAAATGGTGGAGCCTAGACTGGAAAACAGGATCCTGACTTAATTAAATGTGTGATTTTTCACGATGGGGCAGAAAGGGTTTTTTTGGTTTGTTTGTTTGTTTGCGTTGTGGGTTTTAAATTTTTCTTTGCCTTTGTTGTATCCCAGTGCCAAGAACAGTTCTTGACACCTAATATTGCTTTAACATTGGTTCATTTGACAACTGCATATTGAACAGCAACGAAGTATAGATACACTTGGAGGCAGCTAGACCTACAAGTGTCAGTTACCGTAATAGACAAAAATCTCTATCTGTGGGGCTGAAAAGATTGGCTGCTCCCAAGTCCTTAAATCCAGTTCCAGGGGATCAGACGCCCTCTTCTGGGCATGTGTGTAGTGCAGACGTAAACTTGCAGACAAAGCAAATAATAAAAGAATAAAAAATAATAATATAATGATGATGTTTAAAAACTCTGTCCTCAACTCTGCTAGAGATAAACAATAAATATAATAAATTTCTGATAGCACATTAGAAAGTGATAGTTGTTAAGGAAAACATCTCACAATAATAAGGAGGATGGGTTGACACAATATTAAGAGTTAATCAATCAGTTGGCCACAGTGGACACAAATTTGACCCCTGAACTGATGAGGCAGGTGGATAACTGAGTTCTAGGATAGCCACGTCTAAGTAGAATGTTGCAGACCAACCAGGAGACCCTGCCTCAAAAAAGAAAAAAAGTTGGGAAGGTGGGAAGTTGTAAGGAAGATATCTGATGAGGCATTCCTAGGATATCTAGAGCTTTTGAGGAAGAACCATACCATAGTGGCTGGAGAGCAGAGGGAAAAAGGAAAACATCAATTTCTTTTTCTTTTTAATGGTGGAAAACGTGCATATTTAGAATTAGTCAGGTGGACTCATCTTGTTAGCAACATCCAGAGCATCAAAATCAGAAGCCAACCGAACATACACGTTCTTTCTGTCAGGCCTTATCAGGGTATTAACTTTGGCCACATCAGTGCTTCCTGGCCTGTTTGATCTGGTGCTTGTTAGCCTTGACATCCACAATGAACACAAGTCTGATGTTGTCCTCCATTTTCTTCATGGCTGACTTGGTGGGCAGGGGAAATTTAATGATGGCATAGTAGTCCAGCTTGTTTCTCCTGGGTGTACTCTTTTAAGGGTTTTGGGCTGCCTCTGGAGCCACAGGGTCTGGGGCCGCTGGAAGGTGGGTGACCTGCGGATCTTCTTTTTGTGACGGTGGACACTTTTCAGCACTGTCTTCTTAGATTTCAAGACCTTCACTTTGGCTTCAGCGTTGGAAGGGGCAGAGGTGTCCTTTGTTTTCCTGGATATCTTGGTGAAAGCCACTTATTTTTCTTTTGATGTAAAGGGCAACTAGTGTAGGATTTTAAACAGATGCAAAATGATCAGATTGATTTGGATTTTTCTTTTCTTTCTTTTTTGTGTGTGTTTTGTTTGTTTGGTTTTGTTTGAGCCATCCCTTTAGCCCCTTGGCTATCATTTTAAAAACAGAATTCAACCATTTCTATCAGAATTTATGAATGTGATTTCTAGTCTAAAAGGAGTGGTTCCTACAATGTAAGCTATCTGATATTCCAGTTCTTCTTATTAATATACCCTTCCAGCATGGGCCTCTTGAAGTAATCCTTGCCAAAACACTCAAGGCACAACAAAACTTCATGGGCAGAAATTGCTGTCTAAATGCATGTTGGGCACATGGCAGAGCCTATCTGGCCTTGGTTCTCTTTCCAGAAGGAAAGCAGAGTGAATGTGTAGCTCTGAACTCTTCTTTAGCAGTCAGTGAAAGCTTTCTACTAATTGCAGGAAGTCACAAGGACTCCAGGTGTTGGGGGTATGAGGACAAAGTAGTGAAGAGAGCTACAGTTCCCCAATTTGTCCATGAATTCTGGTTACGTTTTCAAGTAGATAAGTTGGAATGGGGGCATCATAGTCCTTATCTGTAAGTCCCGGGACTTGAGGTAAAGAAGGCCAAGGAATTCAAGGCCATCTTTAGCTACACAGTGAGTTAGAGACCAGCCAGGGCTACATGAGATCATGTCTCAAAATCCAAATCCAAGTTTTTCTTTCACTTGCACCAGTAAATTCTCTCAACAGCTGTCTTCTGGTTTTGCTATCCCCATTCTATATGTAGTACTCTGGGTTCAGTGAGGGGAACAGACTTGACAGGTGGTAGAGTTTAGTGCTGGGGCTTGTGTTTGAAGCTAGGTTCGTCTGCCGTCTCCCAGTGTACAGTAGCCCTGCTGTTTCTAGTCTGTTTTGAGTTCTGAGGATAGCCAGTGAGCTTAAGAGTATGGTGCCTGATCACACATTAGCACATAGGTGAGCCATCTTTGTTTTAGCAAAGTCACAGAGCATCTATAGCTACGATGCAGATGAAGTTTCCAACAAAGCCTCGTTCATTTATAGATAGACATAATCATGGCCTTTACAGAGGACCAGCTCTGGGCCTCCATAGATATATCTGATCACAATCCCTACAGAAATCTTAGGATTTCTGTGTTGCAGAGAGAAGACACAGAGAGAAGTATTAATAACTTTCCCCTGTAAGGGTTAGACTAACTTTGTAACCTGTATGTCTTCTAAAGCCTATAGTTTTGAGTTTTAGGTTCAGGTTAAGCTAAAGCCTCTTAGTACCTTTCCAGAGAATGGAAAAATGTGACCCTATCTATGAGGACAGATAGAAAAAAAGGCAAGCAAACAATGACCTTCACTCAGCAAAAAGAAAAACTCCTGTCTTTGAGATAGCATTTCTTAGCAACAAACCTAGACTTCTTCTGAGTAGCTTTTGACCTCCAGCCAAAAGTCTGTAGCCCCTAATCTTCAAGGATGAGCTAACCACCCCCACCTTCAATTGCAGCTGCATCCACACTTGGCAGGACTGGCCAAGCTTGAGCACCTAAGACTAACCAATTATCTTACTTTATAGCTTCCTCATCCAATCCTAAATTGCCAAGACTGCAACTTCAAATCTCCCGCAATTTTTCTTTTAAAAACCTAAAGGCCTTTGTCTCCCGGTGCCACTCTTTGCTGACCGGCAGGGGTGACCCCATTGTGCAATGGTTAATAAGCCTCTTGCTTTTGCAACGAGTCTTGGTCTGGGGGAGTTTCTGGGAAGGGCGCGATCTTAAACTCCTAAGCTGTGAGACCCCAGGTCTTACACCCCAGGGGAAAAAAAAAATCTCAGTGAACTTTTTATTCCTCTCCCGTTACAATGGCACCTCCTAGTTGTCCTTGTGTTTAATATCTCTGATCGGCCTGTGGTCTGGAACGTGCTGTAACAACAAACAGCAATTATGGAAACGAACAGCTTTAGGCTCCACAGCTTGAACCAGCCTCAATCCTGCACAGGCAAAGCCTGGCATCCTGGGACGTGCAGGTAATCTCCTGGGGCTGGGACAGAATTCAAGGCCAGCCTTCTCCTTAAGAAGTCAATAACGACTGCTGTAACCAACTCCATCAGCCCTTTAAGGGCTGAACAAGGAACTGGGGTCATCAAACCGATGCCAACCTGTAGGCAGAGTTCCAGACTTCCCTAACTAGTTTGGAGGAGCCCCTCTATGTAGGGAGTCTCAGGAGGTGAAGAGTGGTTGACCTGGAAGAGCTTTTGCGACCTAGGCAGGGGCGGGGCTTAGTGAAGCCACCTGTGGCAAGTAATTGGTGTTGGGTTGGAGAAAGTCTTTGGTCTCCCACCATTTGAATGAGTGCTGATCCCTTAAGGGTCTTAAGGGCCCTGGGTCTGAACTTGGTGGAGCAGTCTGTGTCCCTGGTCTCTCGCAGGCCACATTAGCAGAAAGCAGTCATTTCTCCCTGACTCTTTTTTTTTTTTTAATTTTTTATAGTAGTTACAGTTTATTCACTTTGTATCCCAGCTGTAGCCCCTTCTCTCATTCCCTCCCAATTCCACCTTCCCTCCCTCATCTCCTCTCATGCCCCTCTCCAAGTCCACTGATAGGGAAGGTCCTCCTCCCCTTCCATCTGACCCTAGCCTGTCAGGTCTCATCAGGACTGGCCACATTGTCTTCCTCTGTGGCCTGGTAAGGCTGCTCCCTCCTGAGGGGGAGGTGGTCAAAGAGCCTGGCACTGAGTTCATGTCAGAGACAGTCCCTGTGGACACTGAACTGCCATGGGCTACAGCTGTGCAGGGGTTCTAGGTTATCTCCATGCATGGTCCATGGTTGGAGTATCAGTCTCAGAAAAGATCCTTGTGCCCAGATTTTTTGGTTCTGTTGCTCTCCTTGTGGAGCTCCTGTCCCCTCCAGGTCTTTCTGTCTTCTCCTTCTTTCATAAGATTCCCTGCACTTTGCTTAAAGTTTGGTTATGAGCCTCAGCATCTGCTTCGATACACTGCTGAGTACAGTCTTTCAGAGACTCTCTGTGGTAGGCTCCTGTCCTGTTTCCTGTTTTCTCCCTCTTCTGATTTCTGTCCTGTTTGCCTTTCTGAGTGCGGAA